TTGAAACCATTCCTTTTTCCAGATTTCCCATCCACAACAGTGAAACGAGCCATTTTCAGCTGGTTCTGTGGAAGGCAGTACAAGCAATGAAGACACGATCTGACCTTGCACAAGGCAACAGTCTGAAAAGACTCTTTGATATACTTCAGAGGCAGCAGAGCACACGTATAAGCTGCCCCTGCCCTGCCAAAAATACATTACAATGCCTACTAACGCACTGGCATTTTACCATCTTCTGCTTCGGAAATGGTTCACAGCCAGACTGCAGGACTGTTGACTCAAACTTTAGCCATGTTTCATTGGTAAGGATAAGCAATACTACAAGCAATACTCCTGACATAATCCAACTCAAATTCCCTGCAGGCTCAGCAAGGATACTTACGTGTGTTCAGAATGCTCAAAATCTTAATTGGGATCTGCTCCCCAACTTCTAAGTGCTTTGATGCTTAATATGCTTGGGATAGGCATCGTTTTGAGAAATATGTATTGATGGTAAATAATTGTCAATACTCTCTTGTAAATGGACATAAACAGACGCTTTGCACCACTGTCCAATGCTGCTACCAGTTTCTATTACAACACAATCCAGGGATGGACCTGTTGGCTCTCAAATTTAAGAGGCACCATATTTCAGTCTCCTTGTGTGTGTTAAGCCACAGTGACAGTCAAAACAACAATTTGGTCAAACACCCTCCTTGTAACTGCTCGTTATGTCCTTTTGAAAACAGCTACTCAGGATTTTTTCTATTTGAGAAAAAGTTTATAGCTTCTCAGGCCTTAGAAACACAGGCTTCTCCGAGTGAAGAGTTAAATGTGCAAGGCCTGGCAGCCCCTACTTACGCAAGGGCACAATCTAGTCCTTAAGGCCATCATTACTCAACGCTTTTTTGACTATTCTTCTCTTCCAAGCAGCTGCACCCCTTTATACAAAGGGAATCCCAGAGCCAGGAGAGAAGTGCACAGGAGACCTACTGCAAAACTTAACAGGAGACTGAATTCACCACTGTTCTCATCCCAAAGTCCCTGCGGTCATTGCCAGTGCACCTAGGGCCTATTTCTACAGAGTTCCATCAGCTGATCCAAGCAAGGGTGGAGAAGCAGGAGATTTGACCGATGTTGCAAGTGAGGCATGTGGCGTGAGGGGAAGCGGCCAACACATAATGCAATCCAGAATTTGAACTTTTATTTTTTTAAAATAAATTGAGAAGTCATTTTGCAGAAAGCAGTAATTCCTACCCCTGGCTGTATGGGAGGCATATTGGCAGGATCCAGTGAAAAACACCATCTGCAGCTGCAACTCATTAGCAAGCTTTGAAAATAGCACAGCAAACTGGACTGCAAATTCACTGAACTCAGCCCCTCCTGCCATTGCGGAAAGAAAGGGCCTCAGCTAAGGCCAGTTACTGTACAACCTAATCAGATGATCAGGGCAGGAAGAGATGCAAGATGCGTCAAGACTGCAGAGTCCTTGGCATCAGTTAATTCTCATCCTCTGTTGACTCTACTGCGAAAAGGGGAGGAAATTAGGCCAGAAGACAAGACTACTCACAGGCTGCAAAACAGCGTCAAGATCTAGAATACTTACGAAGGCATTGAATCCTCCGACCCGGCTTGCCGCCCTAATAAGGCGGAAGATGCTCCACAACATAGACACAGCCACAAGTGTCACTATCAGGGAAATCATGTCACTGAAAGGACAAAAGCAAGTCAGGTACAAATTGAAGCGTTTGGCCACAAGAAGTATTATTAGCTTGGTAAATATTACTCAATGCAGCTATTTTCAGTATTTTAAAGGTCCTGACATTTAGGCTAGAAGCACAGCAACGAGCAGACATGACTAAGAAAATGGCACTTTTACAATTTATATATAAAAGTACCCATACAAAATATATAAATATACACACACACACACACACTCTTTGTTTTATATATAACAGAAAACCCAACAATTACCTAGTCTAAAAGGTTAAACAGGAGACGCTGGCAAATACTGCTTACAGCTATGGAAGAAAGTCTACCTTACCATCCCTTTCAGAGGCATTGCTGCTCATGAAACAAATACAACCTTCAGGCAGTTAAATTATATCCAGACCAGAATCCAATGGGACCAACAGTGTAGGCAAAGGGAGTTTGCTACAGAAGATCTGTGGCCAACAACACTAGGAGATACCTATGCCCTCAGTCCTGGGAAAAATACCAGTACAAGTCAGCCGTTAAGAAGCTGCTCTATCTGTTTTGGTTGGCCCTCCCTGGCCAAGCATCTTAGAAGTCCCTTGTGTCAGAAGAAAGCGTTACAGCAACCAACATAAACTTTCTGGATCCTTTGCAATGCCAATCCCACGAGAAAGGAGACGCGTAACAGAGACAACACTGCAAGTCTAACGCAGTTACAGGACAAACTTGCTGAGAATCAAATACCCTGTGAGCTCTACACACTGGATGCTTTTTTAATAGGAGGAAAAACAATCAAATATGCCAGATGACAGTTTGGGAACTGAGGGACCATAACTCAGCTCCCTGTTCTGCTACAGATGCCCTGCTTGATCCTGTCAAATCTGGCCTCACCACACTTCTGTTTCTTATCTTTAAACAAGGAGCATGTCTTCCGTCCCTCACAAAGGGATGATTTACTGAAGCAAGGGGATCAGCATGGGCCATACACCCAGCTGTGTTTATTTCTTCTCTGTGAGAGATCCTACGGAACACTGGGAACTGGATGTCACCTCCAGTTTGTCAACTGTACAAACAGAGGATTAATCCTGAAACAAACCAAGTGCCCACGTCTCAGAGGGAACCGAATGCAAGCTGTGAGTGCTCTGCACCTCGCAGGTTAAGGTTCCAGATCCTGAAATCTCCCCAAAAGAATACAGACCCTATAGCGTCTCTTTGAAGATTCTCTTTCTAGGGGCTGGGGAAGCAGCCTGCGTTCCTGGCTGATTTTAACTTTTCAGTTTACTTTGATATGCAGAAGTTTGACAAAAACTGGCAAGTTCTGAAATTCAGCTAAAGATCTCATACTGCCTGGTCAAATAAATAAATAAAAAGGTTAATCTTCATATAAACCATGTATTACTGTATGCAACTAGACAATATCCTGTCCAGATATCTATTCATAGCTGCTCAGGCCATTTAGGCATGTCTCACACTGAAGTAGGGCCTCCAAGAGCTGGATGACCACACTGGTCATCCCCAGCTCCAAAAAGAAAGACCCCATGCTCTCTGATCCCCACAAGCTCCTGAAAAAAACATGAGGTATGCCTCCACTTCACATGATGTACAAGCAGGAGACTGGGCCATCTTGGAAGATAATACCAGCAGCATGAAGATACTTTTCTTGGTTTCCAGGGAAGGGAAGTTCTTCACTTAGCAGACAAGATTCCTGTACTACATCTCTCGAATGCTTTAGGATAAATAATTAGTTGAGAGCTCTTCCTGTGCTCAGGTCCCTCCACACACTTATGGAAAGCATCTTTCTACAACAGTGTAACAGTTGCCAGGGCGTTGGAGCTCCTGGACTTGTTTAACATTCCAGTGAATGAGCTTTACAGGTCTGTTTTGCACCCATAAATCCTGTTTTCCAAGAACAAGCCGCCAGCCTTAGAAGAAGGGCACATAAAACCACAGCAGCAAAAAACTACACAGCATTAGAACAACATACGAAAATACAGTCTAGCTGGCACTCAAAGTCTTTTGACAGATTCCCCTCCCCCTTCTTGCTCATTGCAGCTTTATTTCAGAACTACAAGCTTTGAGTACTGCTGATTTTTTTTTTTCCTTAAACAAAGGATCTTAGTTCCAGGTAACAGAATAGGACTGTGAAATTAACAGAAGAAATCTCAATGAGAAGTGAGTTCTTGTGTCTTATCATCAAAGCTGCTCTGCTCAGTATGTGGCTCACGGCTGGAGCCAACACCAGTGCAGGCTAGTCTCTGATCCACAGCTTTTGGAGAAACAGGCCAAAACTAGGTGTTTATTTTTACAGACTGAGCAACTGACACAGGCCTTCCTCAGAGCACTTCAGTGGGGGAAGGCTCACTGCATCACTGACATTGTCTGCAGACCAGGACGTAACATCACAGCTGTTGAGTCTGTGGAGTCAGGATTTCTATCAGACTCTGTACTTTAATAATTGATTAGGAGAACAAAGAAGTGTTCAGCTGCACAAGAACTTAGAGCAACTGATACAGACTTTACTCAGACTTGCTGACACTGACTCTAAACATTTTGGTCTACTACATGGTACAGCTCTAGCCACCTCCTTGGGACCCTTACTTTTGAAATATTAAGACATATCTAGAGCAAGTCTATTTCCAAAAGAGACAGTAAGCGCTCCAAAACATGGAGCGCTTTTTTGTTCTGCCTTTATGCAACATTTAGTACAAAGACTTTCTTCTCCAAGTGAGTGATGTTGCTGCCAACATAAGACCAACCGTAAGCACAAGCGTATATCATACTTTCCATAAAAGCCAGGGTGTTTGTAGGAAACGGGGAGTCTCTCTTTCTCATCAATATTCAGCTCATCTTCTGCAGCTCTCAGCTTCTCTTCAAACTTGTCAATGTTTGCCACCCGCATTGTGTACAGCAGGGTAACGTTCTGGAGACATGAAATCAAGAGAACTATACTGTAGTATAAAGACGCAGCAGTGAGCAGGAGGGGTGCACACCATGGATAAGTAAGACAAAAGTTAGCCTTAAGTTGTAGCTTTTTGTCAGCTGCACCAAACTCATAAGATAACAATGACACTAGCACTAAAAAGCCTCTGGTTTTTCCCTAGCTAAACTAAAATCCAAATAGGAGAAGATATTTGGAACAAGATCTAGTAATAAGAATTTACAATCATTTTCTAGATCCCTTCTGTCATATTAGACGGAGCTTGTAAAGAACCACCACTGAGTTCTCCCAGCTGCTTGGACCTCTCAAGATTTTCCTACAGGTAAATATTAATTACTCTTACAATAAAAAAAGAATTAGGACGCCACATCAATATAAGTAGCAGAAGTCCCAGAACTTGAAATACAAGGGAGAGAAACATTAGAGAAGAGCCAGTTTACTAGCTAGGGTTTAACTGAAGGCATATCCTTTAATTCAATTATTCTCAACAGTTTAATTCATTCTAATTATTCATTCTAATTGTAGAAAGTCACTCACGACTTGTCCGTGTGGAGTTCCTCCTGGGTGTAGATAAACTTCCACAATATCACTCTCTGGAACCACTTCAATTCTCTGGACCTCCCCCTTTGCCAGCATCTCATTCACAAAGTAATTCCAGGAAATGTTGGTCCCTTCTCTGTTCTCTCTGACCGTGAATCGAAACATCAGTAGTATGAAAGTTATGACGAGGAGTGCCCGCAAGCGGTCAATATGCATCTGATTTTCCCGTTTCCTGCGTTTTTCATCCTCTTTATTAAAAAAAGAAACAAATCAAAAACACCATAAACACGAAAAGACAGATATGAGCATGTAATTGTGTAATTTTCTGACCCAAAGAAGGAACGATGAAGCTACAAGGATTAACCCAATGGTATTTTGTTGTTGTTGCTGTTGTGTCATTGGTTTCTCCTGAAGCACTACAGAGGCAATACCTAGCCTGTACAGCACAGCCTATTTTCTGGCTTGGCTGACAGAGGTAAAAGAAGGTCATGTGAGTTGCCCAAGGTTACACAATGAGTCAGTTTTAGATTATATTGCAGTTCCAGACCTTTTTGGCTTCTAGACTGTCAGACTGCAGGGCTTCGGCTGTACATACGAAACAGCATCAGGTCAAAAGTCTGGTCATGAAAGGACAAGCAGTCAGATGCAAAATTAACAGTTGCCAGGAAGGAGGCAAATTTTGCAGTCTGCTAGTCAACAAAATTTGCTTGCATCACACTACTGCTTTTCAAATCAAATTTGCTTTACCATGGCTACGTTCAACTACTGGCCCACTTCTATAAGACATGGTTCTATACTGCCTACTAGTAGGGCTGCTGCTAACATATCCACGGGAAAACATTAACAGCAAATAAAACCAGTCACAGTGTTGCTCTCCAATCACGTAGCACAGTATTATACGGTATAATTGTTTCTTGGTCAACTCCTGATCTGCAGGCATCCTGGATCACAAGACCAACAGCATTTCTACTACCTAGCATTTGCAGTCTAAAGTTTAAGTCTAAAAAAGCGTAGGAGACATCACATACAGTTTACTCAGGCAAATACACTGCAAAAAAAAAAAAAAAAAAAAAAAAAAAAAAAAAAAAAAAAAAAAAAAAAAAAAAAAAAAAAAAAAAAAAAAAAAAAAAAAGAATCTCCTTGTCTTCACAAAGTTGCACAGATTTTCTCCCATGACACATAACTAACCTCATGTTCAAACAGGTCTGATAACTTGTACAAAATTAAGGGTCTGTATCAAAGAGAGAATCACGTACTAGATGTGCTTTCCCCTCCCCTTACTGTATCAGGGACACATATTGAAGTGATGGCATGAGAAAAACAGATGGCTTGCTTTGAATATTTGCCACCAAACCATTTTTCAGACTTTGAACATTTTTTGGACTGCACAAACAAATTCAAAATTCTGTGGTCTGCAAAGGACTGCCACAGCACAGCGGTCAAGTCAACGGCTAGCTATTATTTGAGTTGTTAAAAAGACAACAAATCTTCTCTTCCTCCCCCTCCAGTCACATGTGGGTGTTCTTTTATATATAATCTACCATTTGCTCTTGATATACAATTTAACATTAACAGCAACATGGCATACATAAATACTATTCTACACCTAGAAATAAATTAAGTCTGCACCACTGGACTGCTACTGCATCTGCCTGCTGCAACCCAGATTAAATTTATTTGCAAATTCATAACAAATGTTCTGACACTAGCATTCACCACTAGCCACCAGTTAGACCCTACACACAGTGTAAAAACCAAGGGACAAACATACAACCCAGTCAGATGCTAAAAAAAGTACTCTGTCCTTCCGATATGCAGCATCATTTTTCACTTGTTTCCTAGCTCTGCTCCACATTTAACAGGAAAGGCTCGTGCCTAAATAGAAACAATGCAGCTTTTCAGATAAGGTCATAACTTCAAAAGAGAGTGACAAGCTCAGACACCACGTCCAGCCCATCCACTTTGTTCTTTGATGCCATCTTCTCACTTCTGTGTTATCTGCTAGGTTCAGCTTTATTAGAACAAAGCAAATTCATCACAGAGCTGCAGGCTTATATCCAGTTCAGTCTTTAACTAAAGACAATTAAACTATAGTAAGATAGAAGCCCTAGTCTGAGCAATAGCCTGAAATGCTGAGCAAGTTCTAAATAAAATGGTTCTACAGAGAAAACAGCTCTAGAGAAGTGAGCACTGATACAAAGAAAGTCCATCTATTCCTATGCAAGTTCCTTGGAGATCTCAGAGTAAACTCTTGCTAAAGCACTTCTCTGTATTAAATTTCAGTCAAAGTCAAGATGCATATAATATATTCTAAAGCACACAACTGTGAGGAGACTACCACAAAAAGATCACTAGTGGAAAAACTGGCCACTAGATACCTCAACACAACCTCTACAGTGTCTAAGATTTAGACTTGTCTAGGACCTTTAACCTACAGCTGAATAACTTCAGAAAACATCACCATTTCTAGAAAGCTGGAAGACAACACAAAGCCTTCTTCCACGTTTAATGTGAGACAAAATTAATCTATTTCTAGTTTATGTAAAAAGTGGCTGTCTTTGCAGTACAACAATTGCATTGCACTGTAAGCTGCTCCACAGTATTTGGTAAATAAAAACCAATAACTGGAAGTGACACTTGCAAGCAACAGCTGCAGGAATACTTCCAGCTCTTTAGTCTCAAAAAGCCTCCATAAAGCAACGATTTGCCATTAACCCCAAATCTGAACTCTCTGATTAAAACCTTGCAAAGGCTGCAGTGACAGCTTGAAGAGTTCTTTTTAATAATTGCTGCAGAGATGAGTATTCCTCTGGAGACACAGGGTAGCATTCCACCACCCAAAGTCAAGTCACCCATTAATCACAGGAGAAGAGAGGCCACAAAACACAGCATGTTACTGTTTACTAATTTTAATAGCTACAATACTTCTCCAAGGCTCTGTGCTCACAGTCACCCTGTGTGGTCTTGCAGATATCAAGCACCCCTGCCTCAAAGGTCTGACTTCCTGAATGAGAGAACTGCAATACCTGCAGTAGTGTCCCATTACAGACTTCATCTCAGTTCAGCGGATCAAACGGGCAAAGCCTCTGCTCTTGGCTTAAAGAGACTACATACAATAACATAAATCAGACTAGAAGCAATCAGCAGTTGACTGCTTTTACTTCAAAAGTTAAATCAAGAGGATTCCATTATATGTTTAAGCACAACAAAGAAAAGTCAAGCCTTCTTTTTTCACACTATCTGATAACAGCTAGGTAGAAGTTTGTAACAGAATTTACAAAACAGAACTGTGATGTGCGAGATCTCCATTTAGAGAGAATTTATCCCTCACTTGGAAGTAGGGGAACAAATAAGCAGCACAGACGTCCATGTAAACTCTCTCAAGCCATCAGCAGCCCCTGTAAACATCAGCTAATGTCGTAAAATTAAGAACACACTCAGGACTGTTTTAGCTTCAGCAAGCACTCCTGACAGATAGGAGAACATGACATTTTCACCTGGGCCACTTCTGACACCTTTCAAAATAAAGCCCTAAACCAGTGGATAAAGGACGTGCCATCAGTTGTGGGACATCACAGCTAGAAACCTACACCACAAAGTCTGAGAACATGCCCATCCAGAGCCTGGGAACTTTACATGCACCTCAACTCTTGGTAAGCAGGAGAGAAAAAACACACACTCAAAATTGGAAAAAGAATTTTCTTCAAAGTGGAAGAAAAGAATCAAATTACACTTTTGAAATGGAATACAGCTGTTGTCAATCCACAAATAGCAAACAGTTGCTGACAATACTAAGGTTTGAAGGGACACTCGCAAATCAGCGCATATTTGAAAAGTGTTTGGCAAAAACCTACTGGTAGAAGAAAACAGCGACTCCTACAAAGATCAGAACACTAGCCCACCAAAAGTCAGCTAAGACTTTGTCTAGTACACAAAAACTATTCCTCTTCACTTCCTCTCTCTGCTTCCTTTTTAGTGCCATTAAATCCCTTAGCCCCCTCAACAAGCTTAAGGTACACAAAGAGCACTCCTTAACTTCTCAACGTAATCTGGCACCCCATGTAGTTCCCAGAACTTATTTAGTCAGATAAACAAAATTCTTTGTTTTCAAAATAATCCTGTACACTAAGATGCCCGAGACTTGGACAGTACAAGATATGCAAAAACCAGCATCTAGGAAGATTGATTTTAAAAACAATGGAGTCTGAGCAAGTGCTATCAGCAACGCAGCTAAAAAACACTTTTCAAAGAATCTATTTTTAACTTTACTCTGTAAATCACTTGAGGTAAAGAGATACATACAAAGTCAAGGGAACCAAAATACAAGAAAGAAATGGAATTCATCTCAAACTTGAACTGACTAATAAAGAACTGTATGCTAATGTGGCTCTACACAAAAAAGAATCTCTAACCAGAGGCCAGTAACTACTACTGTTCCCTTTTGTAAAGTGAGGGAACTAAGGCAAACATCAATGAGATTATTTGCATGGGATGCAAAGTGGCACAGAAGAAAACAAAACCACCCTCAGGACCCTTCAGCAAAAAACACCCCTACAGCTCAGGACCTGTCTTAAGCCTTAGTAACTCCATCAGCTAAGCCAAAGTATTCCTTCAAACTTATCAGCTCCACAAGCCTATGGCTAAGAACAAGCTACAGGTACAGCTCTGCAGAACTCAGAGAGAATCTACCATTGTGAACTGCTGTAGTATAAAGGTGGATCTTCCACGCTGTCCACTTCTATCCCTCACACATGCTTGAAAGGTTCATTTCATTAAACATCCTTTTGGCACATACATACCCTCATTCTCCTTTGGAGATTTCTTTTTGAATCCTCCATTCTTATGGTTACTCCCCTGAGAGCTTGAAGTAGTAAAATAATAAGTGCCACCTGCAGGCAAGCAGAGTTAAGCAGTTACTGACAGAAAACCTCAGGTCAAAGCGAGAAAAAGGGACAAAGGACAGAAGAAATACATATGAGCTCCAAATGCACAGAAAGCTAAGTTCCACACCCACCCAGGCGCACAGCCTCTTCTGTATGCCAAGGCAATGGGACAGCCTCACCAGAGGCAGTAACAGGAGGGACAGGCTCCTTCAATCTTCTTATATATTTTTTGACAACCTCATCAAAATATAGTTTTGTTCAGACATTAACGTGGCAAAGAAAATCATTTGGAGAACGTTCCAGTGCTGGAACGTTCACACATTTCCCAAAGCACAACCAAAGTTAACGCTGGTATGATCACTTAACAACAGCCTCATACTAGGAATTGTAAGTGTTTATTAAAGGAAATGTATGTGCTAGAGCTGAACGCAGGATTCCTCAGTAATGTCATTAGGACACTCTAATAAAAGCCAAGAAAGTAAAGATACAATCAGCAAAACTCTCAGTTGCTGCTAAAAAAGACAATCAGCAGAGGCTTTTTTTGGCAGGGAAATGAAAAAAGCTCACAAGCAAAACAACTGACTTAAAGACTGCAGCTTCCATTTCCCATGGTCTTTCACAAAGGCAGCAGAAAGGGGTGCAAGTCCAGGAATCGGGCTGCTTGTCAACTGTTACTTCTTCTAGAGGGTTCTCTACCATTTCAAAGACTGTGCAGATTCCTAACTAATTTTAAAAGGAGAAAAAAAATTTTTTTTTTTTTGAACTCTTCAAGATAAGGCAGCCCAAGCTCACCAGGTCCACACTGGCCAGAATGGCAGCAACAACTTTTGTTCAAATCTCAAAGGCATCAGCAAGCCCGTTTTCCCAGTATGAAGACGGCAGGGAGAAGAATAACTACTTCTGTTGTACGTGTTGGGGCTTCTACTCTTAGAATAAGGATATTTTATATCATACAATTTAACTTGTCCCAAGTTCCAATGCAATGCCTTCAGGAATGAACTCATATGATGCGACTCCTGCCAAAGGTGAGGATATTTTCTTTTTAAGCTTTGCTAATGAGGCACATAAAAATTCTCCTGAAGAGTCTGCAGTTTTTAAAATAGCTTTTCCATCTAAATGACTCAAGTGAGCACTTATCAAATCGAGGTCCTTGGGGAAAGGTGCCACTGTTCAACCCTGTCACCAAACAAAAACTTAGAAGCCTTGTAAGTGATGACACTGCTCCCTAAGCCAAGAGCAAAACAGCTTTATTTCAGTTTCAGGAATACAGGCAGTGAAAGTAAGGAAAAGTCAACACTCTTACTAAACAAGACCTTTTTTTCCTCCCCACCAGTATAGTTGCTTTTAGGGACTCACCTAAGAGTTTCCAAAGCCTGACTGGATCTTGAATTATGTGTTGTTTCACTAGGACTCCACTGAAACCTTGAAATGTGGGGGAAAGCGTTTGTGACGGAAGGCTCTGAGGAAGAGAGGAGAAAGTAAAAAGAGACAACTATTGGAAGAGTACTGCGACTGCTTGCTGATTCTGTACTCCATGAGGCCAAGATTTCTAAAGAATTATGGATAAGTCTTAGCAGCAGCGGCTGGGAGACATGAATATTATTCTTGTTTGTGCTGTGAACTTCCCATGCGACTTTGAGGATATTGTTTATAACCCAATTTTGGGATAGCACATGCATAAATATAAACACGTACTCAAACACTGCAGCCTAAAAACACGATAGAAGCTAATTCTTTCCAAAGAGCAACGAGCTTCGCCTTCTTATGACTAGCAAAACGCAAGGGTACTCCCACAACAGAACTGAAGGACTTTGAAATCTTTAGGCCTTGTAAGCCTTCTGCATGGCAATAAGGATAACACAGCTATTCCTCCTGGTAATTCAGCATTAATCCCACAGCCTACGCTTGCGTTTAAAGGCGGTTTCACAACCTCAGACCTGACAGGAACTACGGCCTGCTGCGAACACAAGCCTCACTCTTTTTTATCCCGTTCAGCCCAGGAGGGCAACCTCTGGGGATCAGTTCTTTCCAGAACAGTTGATACCAGCTTAAATTGAGCACAGAGCTCTGGCAGCAGGCGAACACCCACAGCGGCTGAAGCCTGGCTCGTGTCACAGAGCCGTGTCACAGTTGTTTTCCGCCGTGGCCCGCCAACACCTCTTCGCTCGCTGGGGAAAAACACAGGACGGTGCTAAACCCTGTCGGAGGCCGAATTCAAACAAGCCCCTTTCCCTGCTGCCCTGCGGCGGCGCCTCGGCACGGCCAAACCGCGCCACCGGGAGGCCCAGCAGCGCCGGGGCGGGCACCGGGCCGGGCAGCAGAGCCCTAACGGC